CATATTTACGATTAAAAAGATAACAATACAATAAAAGTCTCCATTTATCCAAACAATAATATCGAACATCCTTTCAATAATATCGAAATAGTATGTAAAACAAAAATTATTGAATTAAAATTATTAAAAGTTAAATGTAGCGGCAAAAAGCTATCTTTGGAAAATGTTTTTTTTTTTGTTAAGCATTTAATTTAAGTACAAGTTATGTTCTTGTGGTCAATAGATCGATTAAATATTTTATACACAAGAATACAAGTTTATACTAAAAACAATAATGAAAATTTGTACAGAATAAAGACTATATGGCTGCATATACACACATAAGTATAATAATATTATTGTGTACGTGTACAATGCGTATATTTTTATTGTTCATTATTTTCCAAGGTACTTAAAAAAGTTCACTTTTGCTAGTATAGACTTAAAATCTTTGGTTGTAAAGAATTTTAAGTAAACAATTTTAATAACAAAATTATTTTCTATTAACAATATACCTAACATTCATGATATTGTTGTAAAAGACAAAAAAAAGGAGACAAATTCTGTTTAAAACAATTTTACTTTGAAATTTTTCTATTGAATTTTACAATTCTAAATTTTATTTTTCATTTGGAACAGTTAACCATTAAAAAATTTATTGAAGATAATTAAAATGAAAATTTGAACAGAATGTGGAACATTATAGACTACGATAAGTTTTTCTCATAAACATATCAAAATATTTTTCGCCAAAAAAAATGCAATAATTATTGTACAAAAAATATTGCATACTTTTTGGGGAAGAATAAAATTCATAAGAATCTTTAATGTAATAGTTGAATTCGAAGGTTATTTAATGAGTTGAGATAGCTTTTTGCTTTAATAGAGATTTGGCAATAATTTACTGATTTTGAGAGGCGGCAACTTTAAAGTGCATCCGGGAAGTGGAAAAGAATTTGGTTCTTGCGGAAGGATTTGTATTTATCATTGTCTGGAAGCTAATTAAATTTCGGATCCTAATTTGTATAGAATGTTTGTGCTAGAAGATGCGAGTCGCCGAGGTGTAGAACTATTTTCCCGTAAAGATCTATTTTTATGTAAAGTTCCAGCTTTCTATTTTAAAAGATATAGAAGTTTTCTGAAGAGAAAGAATGAAACTAATAAAAGCTTCTTTTTTTCAATTTTGAATTCCACTCACTTTGAAAATTACAGCTTTAATTAAAGCCTCTAAAACAATCTCTTGTTTTGTAATCAAAGAGCTTATATTTTTGGAACAGCTTATGGAATTCATACAAACTTTTACGCTTCCGTAGAAGTAATTCCGTTCATCTTTTATAAAGCATAAGACAGGTGCACCTTAAAATTAAGTAAAATTTTTCATTTTCTCATGTAATTCTTAATCATTAATTTTCTTTCAAATATATTATGGTACGTACCTTAAAATTATGCGAAAATATACCATTCGACTTTTTTTTTCTTTTTTGAAAACTTTTAAAGAAGAGCATGAACTATAGGAGACAAGAATAGATTCTTTCAAATAAACTATATCTAAGTAAATTGAACCAGAAAAATGGAAATATCAGAAAAATAAAACAAATGAAAAAAAAAAGAATAAAAAAATAAAACAAACAATCTCAGAAAAAGGATTATTGTGGCCTTTGGCTTTTATAGAACAAAAAAAGCCGTAACACAAAACTGAAAACGAAAACAAAACAAAGAAAAAAAAAAGAGAGAAAAACGTTTAAAGGCATCATCAGCATCATTTCACAGTATTAAAAGAGAAATGACAGAAAGGGAAAGATCTGAAATAAATGAGCTGTTGGTTGTTAGCACTAAAAAAATGAATATATAAAATATACACTTATAATAAAAGATATAATGAGTAGGTATGAATGCATATAACACTTGTATTCTACTACAGTTACTTCATTATAAAGTGAATCAGCTTTTACGCATATATTTTTTGTATACGTGTGTATAAAGAATTCAACAAAGAAATTTAAGAAGAAAAAAAAAGGATACAGTAGACTTTTATCTGTTTATGATAGAATCTATTTCTGTATTAATAAAAGAATGGAATTAAATAAAAAAAAAAACGAAAATAAAAAAAAAAATGAAATCCTGAAATTAAATTTTCTTTTCTATTCTTTTCAAATAGATTTTTTGCTTTAAGTTTTTGCTGACTTAAACAAATTGTAAACTAAGTTACCACATTTTCTTTTTGTTTGTTTTCTTTTAACATTTTATTTTTGCTTTGTGTTTAACCAACTCTTTTTAAATTGTACAGAAAATCGAAAAATTGTTGCGGCATTAAAACTAATTATTAAAAATTTTTCGAATTCGAATTTATTTTCATTCTAAGAAGTCTTTTATAAAAGTGTCTAAATTTGCATTTTTTATTTTGTTTTTTGTAATAAAGTGAAAATAGAATTGATACAAAATGAATGCCTTGGAGCCTCTTTAAATTATTTGGGGTGTAGTATGAAAATTTAATGAAATTATTGTTAGAAAATGTTTGTACAAAAATTGTACTAATATTTAGAGAAAAATGTAAAGCTTGAGAATAGATAATTCAATTGTTTGTTTATTAGAGTACTTGTTTTCCGTGATTTGGAAATTAAATACTAGATAATTGATTTAGTATTCTATGGAAAAAATTTCAAAGAGTTTATAGCATTAAGGTAAAATTTGAAACATTATTTTAATAAATAAATATTTTATATAAGTTCAGTTCGATTGCAAAGTACTCTCCAGTCTGCATCAGACTCCAAACTTGAAATTGAATTTTCAGATTATCATAATGTAAGAACTGAGAATAATCACAAGTATTTCTATATGCTTATTTTTCGGTGTATATATGCCATTTCTATAGTGGTTCTATGAGATTTTAAAACAATGCATTACTCTGTTTTATCTAATTCTTCTACAAATGTTACTTACTTCAGAGAAGAGTACTTTATTCCACCTACAATTTATTATACGTCAGATTTTTCTATTGCCAATGTTTCTCTTTAAATTTTTTCATATAGCTACCTATTAATCTTAAAAAATTTCTATATAATGAACATTTCATTTCAATCGTAATTCATTTAATCACATGACTTCAGCCTGAGCTATTTTGTTTTTTTTTCTTTGTTTCTAATTGAAAGAGTACGTCATAAGATTATGCAAAATTGAAATATAATTGAAGAAAATCTAGATTTCACCGCAAATTTTTCTAATTATTTTTTAAAACTGTATTTTTGTCTTAATACACAAATCTTAAATTTAAAATGTTTTTTTGAACATCAAATTCCACTTAAATTCTTATGAATCTTGGTTATCTCTTGAATTGTACACGTATACACGGTATGTGTTGAAATATTTAAGGCCACACTTAAAATTACAACAATAAATATATATATAATTGAATATATTATTTAATAATGTGCATAATACTTGAATATATTTACTTATATAAAATATTTTACATTATATAAATAATAAATAGTCACTTAAAATTTTAACTGAAATGAAAATACAAACCAAAAACCAAAAATATAAAAAAGAAATTATTTGAATTGAACAGAAACTAACAGACAAGACCTTTTCTTCTAATATGATGGTTTTATCTTTTTTATAGCATAATAATGGCAAGAGGAGAGCAAAAAAAAAAACAACAAAAAGAAAAAGCATAAATGAAAAACAAAAGTAGAAGATGTGATTCTGGTTTTGGAGCTTTTTTAAATGAAGTTGTTAAAGTTTTCATCCTTATTTTGAAAGTATGTACATATACCAAGAATTTTTATATTATATAATGAACACGTACTTAATATGTATAACATAACATATACAAAAACAAACACACACACACACCAAATTCATTTTTTTAAAGAAAAAGGATTTTTTTCTTTGTTTTTTCAAATGTCTTTTTAGTTATCAAAAATGAACATAGTTAGGAGTCAGCATTCTTAAATGATAATGTGAATTTCAACACATCGTTTTCTTATAGGACACAAAAAAAAAAACAGCAATTTCTGTGTACTTTTTTAGAGCATTATTTTTTATTGTCCTTTTTTATGTTTCTCTTTTTTTGTTGTCTTATTTTTAAAGGTTGTTGTAAGGTCTTATTCTTTTCGTTCAATTCTCAGATTGTAAATTATATTCTTTATAATTCCGCGCGTCTTTTAATAGAAAATTTTTACACCTACATGAAATTGAGGAAAGGCATAGAAAAATGAGCAGAATTGGTATATAAATAGTATTGGTATATTGGAGGAAAAATGGCAAGGGATAATAAAAAGTGAAAAGAATTTCATTGTTTATTTTTTTCGCTTCTTTAATCTTATTTTCAGTTTTACTGTTGCTGTTTTTTTTTCCAAATTAATTTAGTTTATTTGTCCTTTTTCTTTTATTTTTTTTCGGTTCATTTATTGTGTTTAATTTTTTGAGATATAAGTAAATGGGGATGTCTATATTTACGATATATATAGTAGTATATAATGAACAGAAGTAAATACTATTTTCTTAAAGATAAAACAAGTAAAAGGAAATTAAATGCTGCTCTTTATGATAAATATATGGATATACTTGGTGTACTTTGGGTATGCTTGTGTATATATGTATGTATGTATACATTCTTGAAATATATATGTATTGTATTAATTTTATTAGATAGAATTAAAAATGTAACTAATTCAATTTATTTTCTTTATATTTTTAAGTTGTTTCCTTTTAATTTCAAACTCGAAAATTAATGAAAAAAAATGATCAATTCAAAATTTATACTAGTCTTTTTTGGGAGATTTTCCATAGAATATCCTGATTAACTAAATTGTAAGGGAAAAATTTTCAATTATTGCGGATTCGTAGAACTCAGTTAGGGCTTCGCTGAGCCCTTAACAGCCAAAATATTTAGTATACTAACTCACAATACTGTATTTTGTTAAAACAATTTTTTAGTTTAAATCTTTAATTTAATTTCAATCGCGTTAGATATCTATATAAAATTTTCTTTTTTGTTTTTTCTCATATAAACTTACTTGTCTGAAGAGAGCTCTATTCCTTTCTCTAAAATGTGATGGCCATTTAGATCTTCCTGGTTGTGAAATTATACCAGTTTCGGGTAGTTCACTTCCACTTGCAACAATACCACGACTATTTGCCATACTTGGTATTAATACTCCACCACTACGCCCAGAATTTGAAGCTGGATTACCAGAGAATATTGTACGTGGTGCAAAACCAGTTGCACCATTATTTCCTTTACTTGTGCTATCATTATGATCTTCATCATCCTCTTGATCCGGGCTACGATTTTCAGCTGAAAATGGTGAACTTACATGATATGATGGTCTTTGCATATTAATAAATCTATAAAAAAGAAAAAAAATTATAAAAGTAATTGTAATTGTAAATTATTTATATATAAACTTATAAGGCAGCGTTTACACGTTAACGAATATTCATGAATTCTGTTTGATTTGATGACTTGATAAAAGTTGGATGATAAAAATTTACAATTATGAGAATTTGGAAAGTTAAAGAAGGCCATTCAATCCTTATTAAATAAACTCTAAACACAACGTTTCATGTGCAAATATTTACTAAATAATATTTAACATGAAATGCTTATATACCTTTGTCCATTTGCAATTTCTTTTAGAACAGCAGCTCTTGCTGCCATTTCTTCGTTACGACGTTGCTGTGCTAATTCTTTTGCTCGTTCAGTTAAAACAAGTTCTTTTAATTCTCTAAATTTTCCATGATGTGTTGTTAAATAATTACTTCCAGGTCCAACAGATGGTCCACCACCAGATCTAAATTGTCCTCGTCTACCTTGTATAGAAAATTCTGCATTTCTTTGATCACCATATATATGAGGTCGACTACGAACTGCACCTGAACCAAAACGTGTCATTTGATTTGTTAATGGTTCATTAACGACACGTCCAAAAACTGGTAAATTTGGATCACGGTATTTTGGTACCATTCTGGGCCTGTATAAAACATTAAATATTTATTAAATATTATTTACTTAAAAAAAAATAGTTTTTTGCAAATATCTTATAGTTACTTTCTCAAAAAACAAAGAATCTCCAATGTTTATTAAATTTATAATAGTCCGTAAAAGTCCGCCCAACCATAAATTCTTTTAAGTGATTATAAAAATATTAATTTAATTTTAAGGGAAAATAAATTATTTAAAATTGGACGAGAAGAATTTAAAAAAAAGATTTCATCAAAAATATTAAGTTTTCACCAATTTTGCCTCAAATCCAACAAATATATACGAAAAATTTCTTATATTTTTGCATATATATTATATTTTATCAAAAATTATAATATATTATTCACGTAAAAGATTAATTGAGAGAATTTAATTTTAAATATCCCTTAAAAATAGATGTTGTTGTTGAGTATATTTTAATCATCAAGGATTTAGGTGGAATTTTATAAGTTTCAAATCTATTTTTGATTTGAATTCATTTGGAGTTAATTAAACAACGTGCTTCATTTATGACCAATTATATGGCAGATTAAATTGCATATATTTTGATTATAAATCTGACATTCTGAACATTTATGACAAAAGCGACCCATCTTAATTTTCGAACAATTATTTTTTTTATGATTCATTAAAATCTATGAAATTAAATTTTAATCTATACGTTTTTCCAACAGCTTGCGAGATGAAAATTTCAAAAATTACTTTATTTAATATCTAAAAGAAAATATTTGAATAATAACTTTTAATTTATTTAATTTTTTTTTAATTTAAAATTGAAAGGATTGAAAGGATTGTTTGACTTTTTTTTTTCTGTTTTTTTTTTGTGAAAGTCATACATAAAAATAGCGCTTATATTTTTAAATTTTTTCTTCGATTAAAAATTAATTTCCAAGCACAACAAAAAAAAAGGATAATTTATAAAGTCAAACCCGTACCGTTAAGATCAATTCTTATAAACACCTAAAAGTAGGCATATTGTAAAATCTAATAAAAGAAAATAATCATTTATTAGTTTTTTTTTTTTTTTTGATTATTTTTTCCTAATAAATATTGGGTAGGAAAATATCTTTTCGGTAAAAAATTTAATTATATGAAAAAGAAAAATAAATAAAGAAAAAGACCCTTACACACAATATATATAATAGATATAAGAAAAACAAGAAATATGTAAGAAAGAGAAGATAAGTGGTAAAAACCAAATTAAGAAATTTTTCCTAATATTCTTCGAAAAAGATTTTCTAAATAACTTTTTAAATTAATCCTTTTAGTTTTCATCAAATATGCGTACACTTTATTCTTTTTTGATTTTCTGTTTTTTTTTTTATTATACTTTATATTTACATACATACATATATAAGTACACACATTTTTCTCATAATAATAATAATAACAAGTAAGAAAAAATAAAGAGAGAAAAAGGTTTATTAAGTTTATGTTTCATTTCTTGTGCCAATATAATGTGCTATACATATTATAATGGAATATATACCTATTTGTATATATATATATATAATGTATATATAACTGCATTTAGAATAAAAATACTTAATATATTCATTTATAATATGTTACAAATTTCCCTTTTCTTTTTCTTTATTATTATATAAAAGGATATTCTGAAGTGCTAATACCGGCATAATAGCTGAACAAATTTAATAGAGCTTTTCATAAAATATTTTTTTGATCCCTTATTTTTTTTTTTGTTTTGGAAATTATTATTTTCTATGTTCAGTTTTGTTATTTCTTATCATTATTATTATTTTTATTATTATTATTATATGTAATATATTTATTTTTCTATATTGTTATATTAAAAAAATTTCTTACGTGTATAAACTAAAACTGTGTTTACATTTTACCGAACATAAATGTTGAAAAATTTTTTAGATCAAATTTATATAATTTGTAAAATGGCACATTTCTCTTTAACAATTTTAATTTTGAACTTGTACTATTTGATAGTGTCTTAGAGCTTAGGAATTAAAATGCAATCTTAGGAAATATATTTTATTATCATATAATTTTGCATAAATTTAGGGGAAACTTTAAAGTAATGCTATTGTTTTTCAAAAATTTTATTCTAATGCAAAGTTTGACTTAGACTAGTAATTAATTTAGTTAAGGCAAAAGGGTATTTAACGCACGGATAAGAGAACGGTCCAGCTTCATTTTTCTTTATTTTTACAGAATTTGCTAAATTTTATAGAGACGAAAGCACAAAGATTTAAAAGAAAATATCCCGGAAAGTTACAAAGAAGTTTTGGTAAAAGAAATAATATAACGATATCTAAACATTGTTTAAAAATTTGAGACAAATTCGAGTTGTCGCGTAGCGTAAAACAAAAAACGCTCTGAAAATGATCGAAGAATCGGTTTGAAATAATGGTTAATATATATCGTCTGATGCTTAATAATAGCGCTTGATTGGTTCCAATAATTTATATTTCGGCCAATTTGCAGAACAATAAGCTTGAAGGAGAGGGGGAATATGAAAAAACTTCTTTTCTAAAGAAATTCACTGAAATCTAACAAGCTTCATCTTTTTATCCCAAAGTTTTGTAAAGAGACGGACAGAGTGCAATTAATGGGAATATTTTTTAAATTTTTTATTGGAAATGGGCCAGAACAAGATAAAAGTTTTAGTTTTTTTTTATGATTCAACTAGTTAATAAAATTTCCACTTGAAGTTGGTTTTTGTCTTTTTTTTTTGGCAAAGAGAATGTACAGTATTTTTGTTTTCATTATAACAAAAACTTACTTACATATATAAAATAATTTAAATATTTGGTATATTTTTTCAGACAAAATTCAAAACCCAAATTAAATTTTAACCTTAAAATCGTTAAGATGTTCAGTTGTATATTAAGGTTGATTTGTTTTTTGTTTTTTTTTACAACTGTTGGGATTAGTATTAGGATGAGTATATTTTGTTGAATTGTAAGAAGTTATACTAAGAATAATTAAATTTTTCGTACGTTGTTTATGACAGCTCTTAAAAATAAATTGACCCAGTTCGGTTTGCTATTTGACTGAAGGAGATAAATACTAGAAAAACGGTTTTAAGTAATTAAACCATCAGTGACATAAAAATTTTATATTTTGACAGATCGCAATTGAAGTTTGTAAAGAAGTATGTATATCAAAACTGGGATGATAAAATTCATCATTTTAATGTTCTCGATTCATAAAGGGTTTTATTAAATATGTACCAATATTATTTTAATAGTTCTGGAACGGAGCTCATGTGTAAAATTAAGATACATTGACGCATTTAGACCGACAGAAGGGCAGATGTTTTGCTATAAATTTCTGAGAAACAATTTTATAACTGTTGTTTGCCGTTGTGAACTAATTTAAAACAAGTGTATAATGATATCTGAAGAAAATATTATAAAAAAAATATTTTGAAATATGCTTTTGTCAAACCTTAAATTTCTGATATTTAACACGCACAATACACATACATAAATGCTCATTCTATATGTATAAAATACAGAATATTATAATGATGTAATTTATTCATATGTATAATTATATAATGTAAGTGCACTATAAAAGTAATTGAGGTTTTTATTACAACATTTTAAGTATATACTTCTAACATAACATTGTTATATATGTGTATGTATTTACGTACATTTACTTACAAAAAAACAATGTTATATGCTTGTATATATACACAATTTTATACAATATAAAATGTATAGCAAAGTATGTATGTAAATGTATAAAATAATATTACATAGCTATATTGAATATTATTATGAAAGATTTTTTTCAATATAGTTGTTGAATATTACTTATTTCAAATTGGTTACACACATATGTGTACATGTAATTATATGGTATACCTATGTGACTATATGGTATACCTTTAAACTATATATATATGTATGTATATGATTGTGTGTCCATCTGTATTATAGAACGGTATTATTTGTTTGAAAGTGCGTTAGTAAATAGGAAATTTTCAATGGCATAGCATAGCGAGCCGAGTAAAATACGGATCGGTTATTATACCAGCCCACAAATCGAGACAAACAGTACCCTTTTGGTGAAACGATAGTCCTTTTTAAAATATTCAATTCTAATCGAACTAAATTCGATTATTTTGATTATTTTTCAAAGGCTCGGTTTCTGAATATAATTGTTTGTTAAAATGATAGATTTTATGTTCTTTCACTAAAAACTCAGTGCAGTGGCACGTCTGCCGGTTTCAATTGCTATACGTGCTTTGTATCATACAATTAAAGGCAAGTTTCTGACGTTAAATTAGCCACGTGGTGGAAAAATAGCCTCAATAGTTGCGACCAGTGTCTTTAATAAAAATTTTCTTTTGTGTACAAGATCTTTTAGCTTAGTAGGACTTTAATCTAGTATATATAACGTATCAGAGGCGTCTTCACGACTAAGAAGGCAAGCTAATTAAATGTAATTGTAGTTGTGTATAGTTTTTTAATATTAACCTGGAGTTTCTCATAATTAGAAAACTCAACTTATTTTAACTAGTTTATATTTTATTAATTTATTTGTTTTGGAAGCCTCAATGAATAGCAGAGATATTTAACAATTGTACTTGTATATTGCTGTTCTTACATTCCAAAGGAACTTTTTTTTTATTGTTTTATAATGGAATTTTGTTCTTTCTTGTTCTCATATACTACATAGTTATGACAAAATTAAATAAATTTTTTTTCTTGTCTTTTCTTCTCTTTTGTGTATTTCAATAGATACTAAAATTGAAAGGAATGGCACAAAAATTAATGTAAAGGAAAGATTAAGTTAATTAACGTACTATTAAATTAATCGTAGATTATTATTAAAACTCTTAAAACATTGAGTTTTCTTTTATATTATATTTTTCCTTTTATCTTATAGATGACATAAAAAGGACTATATTATATTCTTGTACAGGTAAGCATTTTATATTTTATTTTTAAGGATTCATCAACATCTTATGTTAAGAAGAGTAAAAAGAAAAATGAGTATTGTTTAATTTTTTTCTTAAATTAAAGTTTATGGGTGTATTTAAATGCATTTAATACATAATTAATTAGGAAAGTGAAATTATTTTTAATTTAATAACAAAAGGTAGGCTTAAAGTTTGTCAAATAAGTTGAATAATGATTACCATTTTTTATTTAAAATAAATGTACTCATTAAACTAGATTGTACAAGTACCGAGGGTTGAAAAAGCCGTAATATTTTAAACATAATTTATTATAATAGGCGTAATAGATGTAATAGTTTAAATATAGTTTGTTGAAAGAAAATATGTGGACTAAGTGCAAAAACTATGCAACTCCGATTCCGGTTTTTTCTTTTGTAAATTATAAATTTTCTTCCTAACTAGGATTTAACTCCACGGTTTGGTATGGAAAATTTTTTTTATTTCAATTGACTCTGAAAATTTATAAAATTTTGTGTCGTTTGAAAGGAGAGCAGTTTGGACCTCCCTTTGGCAAGGATGGACACGTAAATGATCAGATAAGGCACAAAATTATAAAATTTTAGAGCTATTGAAATTCTGTTAATTTTTCTTTACAGAACTTGCTCAATTTATCAAAATTTAGTGAGGTATATGCACCCATGTATCTCAATTTCAGCTGATTTGAATATGATGAAAATTTGCATATAAGTTTACTTTGGCTTTGTTACAGCTGATCAAATTTTAGGATTTGTCCGGTTTCAGAAATTTTCTGTAGGCCAATTTTACCTTTTTGAATTTTTTTTCCCTTTTTCACTGTTACGAGGAGTTTTAAACTAGGTAGGTGACTAGCCTGCCGTAATTTTTTCTTTATATCAAATAATAAAGGTTATTTATATTTATTGTTTATTTTTCCTAGTTTTTTAATATTGTACATTGAGCTATAATATTGAATATTATTTCTATAGTGACCTGACCGGGGTTTAAAATCGAGATATTTAGGTTAAAGGACCGGTGCTATTACTACTACACTATTGGTTTTAAGAAAATATAAAAGATATTATATTGATATTTTATATATAAGTTTCGTCTGACAATATAACAAGTCACCTAACTTTTTGAGTTAATTCCTTTTTCAGCAATTGGGGCGAATTTACATATATGATCACATCAGATTTTCTTTTTCACATAATATATAATATTTCAAATCTTACATTATACACCTGTTCAATTTCTCATTAATTCGAATCATAATATTATATTGACAACCGAAATCAAATTTATTTTTTATTAATTGTACTGTAATATAAATGATAATTGAATTGTTACAAAGTTTAATAATGAAATATGTATGTACATGTTTACATATGTCTCGAATATTTAATTTTATATAAAAATTTTTGCTTAATATCGTCATTATTTTCTTAATTATACTTACAACATAATTAATTTTAAATAACACAATAATTAATTTTATTGTACAAATGAAATCGTAAAAATATATAAATAATCACCTCAAGGATATTAATAATCTCCAAATAAAATTCATATTGATGATAATAAAAAAAAAATTTTATATTCACACATAAACATATACACATACTTACCCAGCTAAGCTTCTAGTCGTAGGATAATATGGTAACCAAACATTATAAGTAAATGGATCTCGATATGTTGGTATTTCATTTGTTATTTCAGATGCTCTTGATTGACGTTTTGAAAACCTGTAATAATGCGATGATGTTAAATAAAAAGTAATATAAAAAGGTATGTGTACATTGTGTACGTATGTACGTACATATGTTAATCATATTACATTTTTGAAAATATACTTTATTTAAAAACTATGTATTTGAACTAAAATCAAAATGACAGATGATTTCTAATTAAAGTTGAAAAAGTTTTTAATTAACATTAAAAACAATAAATTTTCCTTTAATCAAATTAGGTCATTTAAAGAAAAAGAGGAATATGTAGAGTTGACTGTGTCAGCTCTGTGATACTCGTACGAATGAATGATTTTAAGTGATATTTGTTGATCACCACTCTGTTCCATACTTCTGATTTTTTATTCGTTTATGGAAAATTTCAGCTCTTTAGGTTGAACAGTTTCTTAGTTATGATCAAGAAACTTTTGTAGTTGTTTGAAGAACATGTGAACAGACATGTCTGAATCGACTCATGTTGAAATCGACACTGATTAAAAATATACACTTATGTCTCAGACCATTATTTCTTAACGTTACAAACGGTAAGGTAAATTTAGTTGTGTACTTTAATCGAATTTAATAAGCTTTATAAATTATTATTAGATTTCTGAATAGTCATTTAGAAAATGTGTGCTCTCATATAGATTATATCAGTTATTTTTAGATTTTTTGGAGTTTAATTTTGTATTAGTTTTTATTCATAACCTATTGAACAAAAATTGACACATTCGTAAGTTTTTCAACATTAAGTGATTTTAATTAAATAGCAGTTATGTAGCGTACCCAAAAGCTTGAACAAGAATTTATTTAAAAAATTCCCCATAATGTTTACATTGTATTTATATATGCATTGTATTTCACGGGATTATGTTATGATATTAAAATGCTAGAATATTTAAAATTTTATAAAAAATTAAATAGCAGTTTCAATAGCATTTAATATTTTAAATATATATGTATATTTTGAAATAACAAAAGGAATGTTTCAAAAATGGAATAATTTGGAATAAGTTAAATAATTTTTACACTACAATGCTAAAAATAAAGTTGTTTTAGGAAAAGTTTGGGTATTTGAAATTTGTTGTTAGCAAATTTATTGATTTAAATTTATGCTCGTACTTTAACATTTCCAACAGTCAACAGTCATTAAAGTACATTTTATGTCGAAGCAAAAAAAAAGAAACATATTTTGTCGAAAAAAGGATGAAAAAATTATAATATTATTAAGAAATAAATTTAAACGGTCCACAAAATTTTATTTCAGTTCCTCGTTTTTAATCAAAATGTATAAAAAAAAACTTTATTTTATCCCACACAGAAATCTGATTAAAAATAATTTCTCTTTATATTACATAATGTTTTTGACCCAAAATTCTTTTTAAAATATTTAAACAAGAAATATATGTATAAATATATTTGTAGATATGTATTAATAATTTTATAACTGGATATTGTACACGCTACTTTATTAAAATTTTCATAATTTGAAAAAAACAAAAATTATTTTATTCAAAGGTAAATTTGCAGAGTTAAAAATAAAGAGAACAGAAAATTGACGATCATGTTTTTGAATTAATTTTATGACTTTATTATATACAGATTAAAATTTATTTTGAGTTAATTTACTAAAATATTGCTATACTTATCCGATTATGAAATGATAAAATATGAAAGAAGTGCACAATTATGAAGAAATAAAGTTTTCTTGGTAAAATTTTCATAAAAGTCTACTTTGATAACTGCTTACTTTGAAACTATTAAATAATTTTTAATAGTTTTCAAACATTTATATATTTAAATCGTTAACACGTCTAGACATCCTGAATTTCATCTAAAATTTTAGTTTTTTATTCTTGCTATTTCTTATATGCTGTATAATCTTCAAAATAGCAAATACGAGTATATTTGATTGTAATAAATTGTTATATTAATTCTGTTAAAAATTTATCTAATTTAATTTTGTATTGCACGGTGAATGGACTATAATATTAATATCGTATTGAATTAAATTAATAACAGAAAAGTTGTATTGCTCAGTACTTCAAACTATACGGTATCTGTTTTGAATAAATGCAATAGTATAAATGTGAGAGGAATTTAATGAAATAAAAGTAATATGGAATGACTAGTTTTAATTTTGTTTCAACATATTATAACAGTTTAAAATTATATTTTATTTTCCTAATAAGGTTCCATAAGATAGACAAAAAACGGTTCGAACACTTATGCAGAAATAAAATTCTTTGAAAGAATTTTATTTTTATTGCTTTGTGTTGTTCTTATTTTTAACGTTCTATTTTTAAATAATATAAAATTATGTTATATAATTAGTCTTATTAATTAAAAAAAAAATAAATAATGAAATATTTACCTCCACATTGCTCTTAATTCTTCACATGTCGGTTCACCTATTAATGGTAAAGATCTAGGATTCATAACTTCACCACTTCCAGGACTATTACTACTACTGCTTCCACTTCCACCATTACTACTAGTTGATCCACCAGTTGAACCACCATTTGTAACAACACTGTTACCTTGTGCACCACCGCCACCACCACTACTACCACTACTACCATAACTTTGCATTTTACCAAGTGAAGAAAATTGACCATTTACTAAAATTTCACCATTATTTAATATGGTAGAAATTGTTAAAAATTTTATTATTAGATTGGTAGTGGTAATAAATTTCTTAAGCTGAAATATGAGAAAACAAGAAGAAAAAAAAATTCATTAAAATACTATTATACAAAAATAAGGAAGTAACTGTGTTTTTAATTTTTTACGATTGTATAATAGAAAAAGAAAATGTAACAAAAAAAACAATTTTTTCGTATTATTTACTTGTTATCCCTCGGAAGGTATTAATTTCTGTGATGGAAACGTATTATGAATTTTAATAACAAAATAAAAAAGAAAAACAAAATAAATAAAAGGGAAATTATTTTGTTAAAGGTGCCTGCCTGCCTGCCTTTTTTTATTTTGTCATTTTCCCTTTACGAGCGATATTATTCTCTTAGACCTTTTATTTTATTAAATAGCTTTAAGCTTTTACATAGTTATTTATTCAAATCATCTCTTTGAAAATTATTTTTCTTTTATAATAGAGTAAATTATGAGATTCCGCCATTTAAAATATGCTAAGGTTATTCCTTTTTGTTTATTCGTTTTTAGCACATCCTCAAGAAAACTGGAGAAAATGTGCTTATAAAATTGCAGAGTTTGTTGCAGTATTTTTGTAAAACATTTTAATAATTTTTTAGTTTAAAGAAATAGCCAATTAGAGTAATTATAACAAAATAGAATAGGAAATGAAGTAGAATAGAGTAGCTCAATCCGAATTTCTGGCCCCCCCTCCGTAAATCTAATCCGCCTGCCACTATTTTCAAGTTCAATTTTCGACTTCTCGTTTTTTTCAAAATCGTTAAAAAAATAATCAGCCGTCGAAGTCAACTGCTATGTTAACTCTTCTTTTAAGTTTTGATCTCATCCAAAAAGTATGCAATAATTATAAAATGGTATAATATTACAACAATTTTTATATAGAAATAGGAATAATTTAAGCAGATTGTGTTCTTTAAATTTTCCACGGTAAATGGAAAATTTAAAGAACACAATCTGCTACTTTTCAGATCATTGCTTTGATCCAAATATATTTGCGATTGCTTTCCTCTTTCATTTTAGATACTTATTTGCTATTTTGTTTTGTGATTTTTGCCTGTCTTTAATATTAGTCTGTTTTATATCTATATATATTAATTTTAATATAATTCAAGAACAAAGGCAGAACATACAAGCTCTGTTTTTGTTTTATTTACGTGTATAAATATAATATTAACATTAGCAAATGCCTAGCAATTAAGGACTAAATAACTATATTTTATTAGTTCTTAAATAAATACCATGTCAATACACAATTAATATCCGGTTTTAAAATTTTGAATGATGTGATTAAAGGATTAGTAGATAAATAGAAAAATAAAGTAGCAATTTGTAAATTTTATTTAATTAGATATTGAAATTATACTGTTAAAATGCCATACAGAATTGGTTTGATATTGAAAAGAATTAAGTGAATCTACTTCAAATGAATTCAAATTTTTTATGATTCTTTTAAGAGATTCAACCAAAACTTCTAATAAGAACAAAATAAAGTTGAGGGTTGTTCTTAAAGAACTTGTGTATAAATTATGTAAATCAAAATTAAATTAATACCCTTGACTTTATTGAAAAAAATTTTTATTTTTTTTTTTCTCTTCTTAGTGTTACGATACAAAAAATATGTTCGAGCAGAAATTATGGATTTTACCTAATAGAGAAATGCAAATGACCAGATTTAAATTATTTCCTACTCAACACATATAGAGCTTTTACATATAGAGCCATCTTCGGCTCCCACATTATGATTATCAAAATTTTTGTTTCCCAAATTTACTAAAATTCTTCCTATACTTTATACAATCATACCTGGAAGTCATACCGTGCTTAGATCTATATAAGTTTTAAATTTTATTTGACCCGTTTTTCTGGAGCTATAGACCACAGATTCAACTAAGTTGTAAAACAAATTTTATAGCACTCCAACTGTACTGAATCCAGAGTTATTCGAGCTCAAATTTTTCGGCGGTATATCACAAATAATTAATTATACAAGTTACTATTAAAAAAGCAAAAACTCATATCCTTGAAAATAGTAAATTGTAGTAAAAAAAAAATTCTTCGATTTGAAAATCAATCTATTTTTAATTTTCTTAAAAGCTCCAGCAAGGACTTTGTATTACATTTGGTCATCCATTAATTATTATTAAAAATATTATTTTATACATTCTATCACTTGGCAATAGTTCATCTACTATAATTTTGTTGCTTAGCTTTACTATAACTATACATCACTTTTAATCATCGCTTTGAAAAAAAAAAAGTAATAGTTTTGAAATTCTAATCACACTCAGTAGAAAATAATTACGAAAAAAAAATATAATAAAAATAGTAAAATATCAAAAGTAATTGAGGAAACTGTGAAACATTTAACAAGTCCTTAAGGACATAATATTATTTTTATTTTCTTGTTTTTATTTCTCAATAAAAAAGAAATTAAAAATAAAAAGTAAGAAATATAAAATTTATTTCCTCAATTAATTGAATAAAATAGAAATTGTTTTGAGGGTTTCTTTTCATTAATTTTGAAAGAAAGTGATAAAATTAAAATGTAGATTCACGTTATTTTTTACAATTGATAGAACTTTTCGTAATTATAAATTTTTATTATACTAAAATAATTAAATTTAAAAACTTAAATTTAATTATAATTTATAATTCTTCAAATGGTTTAATCTACTTTGGAATCAGTCAGAGTTTCTATGGTAACAAGATAAAATTTTAATATTTTTTTAAATTCTACTTTAGGTTTGGAGAATTTGTACTACCACTATCTCACTGAGTTTGGCAATTTCTTAAATTTCTATATATGATTCTAAATATTTGTAATACCATGCTCTTTTAAATAATATAAAATTATTAAAAAATTTATTCTTTGAATATAATTATTTACATTTAAAATTCTTAGAGATTAAAATTTTTATTTTCTCTTTATTCCAGAACTTGTAAACATCATACGTGTTTCTTTGTACATAATAATACAGACCCCAAGGACATCTTTAAGAGATTTGTGTCATTTCTTTGTCCATGAATTTTTTTTTTATGTCATATGTATTACCAAGTCAGAAGGGTCGTCATATTATTTAAATTATTAACAAAGGAAATATACATACATATGTATATATAATATGTATATTTTTTATTTTATAAATTTGTATATACATACGATTATTTTGATGTAAATAATTTATTTTTTTTTGTATAAGTCGTCACCTTAATAATTGAATGTCGTATAAATTTTTTGGCATTTTTTCACTTAATATCATGATTTTTACTAAAAATTCACAATCTATGGAATGCTTTTGTCAGAATAATCATTTTGTCCTTGTATTCAACGGCATAAGTTACAAGTTTATCTTATATGCAAAAATTAAAGTATATAATATATTATATTTGTCGTATATGTTATAAAAAACTGTTCTATTTCATTAGAGACAAATTCGTAAATGATGTCAGATGAAGTTACTTAATTGTTTTGTATATATCACATTTAATGTAAATATTTTATAGTATACCACAAACAACTTTCGGTTCAGTGCTTGTTTGTCGTATCCCATAATATGTTTTACTTTGCAACCTATATAAAAATAGAAATTATTTTCAAGCAGATATTGTAATTGGCCATAGTTTAATGTGGAACATTGAGCTAGAATTTTAATAATGATATAGAATTAGGTCTAGAGATTTTTTAAAATCAAATTCAGATTTTAAACTTTAAACTTGAATTTCCAAAAATGTAAGATACGCATGTACGACATTCAAGTACTAGGGTAACGATGCGGTAAACACGTTGGTTATATGTGTACATATGTATGTGTTTAGTTTATCTATAAATAGATATGGTCAAAAGAAGCAGGAAATTATCTTCCGGGAATTCATTTCCATAATAAGTTTTCTGTTTTTTTTTTATTGTTTTTTCATGATTTTTTTTTTTGTGTTATTTAATGCTTTTGTTATAAATTTTTTTTCTAACATTGTTAAAATATTTATAAATGCAAGTTACTCATGCCTTTTTTGGTGTAATTACTTAATTTCTATACAACCAAAGATCCAAGATGGGACCAAATCTGTCATCTTTGGATTTTGCTATAAAGTTTTTTTTGGAAAAGTTGGTGTCAGCTTTCATTTTTTGTTTGTTTGTGATTAAATATAAAAATGTCCTATTTTTTTATTATTTTTAATTAGATCAATTTTAATATAGTTAAATTTTTCGTTCTCTTCATTCAGTATTCAAAAAAAATTTGAAATAAAATTCACCTCAATGTTATTTTAGAGAAATAAAATTGTGAATTCCGATGACAATTTTACAATTAATAATTAAAATAATTTCTGTTTCGGAATTCAAATAATTATTTTTAAATAAAATTTAATTTAAAATATATTTTAATGGTTATTGTATAATAAATGACGTATACAGCAATATTGTATACAAAATTTTTCCTTGTATAATTTAAAATTTTATCTATAATTTTTTTTTACTGATTTTTGTATGATTTTCCAAAATAACCAAGGCCAAATAAAGAAACCAAGAAAAGAATGAGTTTCGAAAGAAAATAAAACTTGATAAAAAAAATTGATTAAATTTTTCCTTATTTTTTTCAGATTTGATTGAAATATTTTACATTGAATCCAATGGAGCAATTCAATGGAAATGCATCAATAACATTAGGCCAATCTTTATACATTTTCAATATACGTGATTATAATATACAAATTATTGGTATAAATTCTTGATTATTCAAATACCTTTGATAAAATTTTTAAAAATAGAATTTTTTTTAATATAGCATATTAATTTTTTTTTTGAAAGCTGGTAACTTTGCTATTATTGTAATAACAACGAAGGAAGAAAAAATTTTATTTCTTTTCTGAATTCCTGTTTTTTTTTTTGACACAAATATAAGAGGCGTTTTAAAGGGAATAAAAATTATTGTACTCATCCTTTGCAATATACACGTTATATTTTTTTTTTCTTTTTTAAGTATTGTCCTTTAAAATATTTTATTATTCAAACTTTTGTTATCATCATTTTGGGTAAA